AGGGCCGCAATGGGTTTATATATTGGACCCGGGGGCCGGACCAAGAGTAGATGAATGATGTGTATGTGTCATCCATAGTAAGTATAGTAATATTCCCCCATAGTAAGCATAGTAATTAATCCCCCATATAGTAATTCATCCCCCATAGTAATTCAACCCCCATATAGTAATTCATCCCCCATAGTAATTCATCCCCCATAGTAATGCATCCCCCATATAGTAATTCATCCCCCATATAGTAATTCACCCCCCATATAGTAATTCATCCCCCATAGTAATTCATCCCCCATATAGTAATTCATCCCCCATAGTAATTCATCCCCCATATAGTAATTCATCCCCCATATAGTAATTCATCCCCCATATAGTAATTCATCCCCCATATAGTAATTCATCCCCCATAGTAATTCATCCCCCATAGTAATTCATCCCCCATATAGTAATTCATCCCCCATAGTAATTCATCCCCCATAGTAATTCATCCCCCATATAGTAATTCATCCCCATATAGTAATTCATCCCCCATAGTAATTCATCCCCCATAGTAATTCATCCCCCATATAGTAATTCATCCCCCATATAGTAATTCATCCCCCATAATAATTCATCCCCCATATAGTAATTCATCCCCCATAGTAATTCATCCCCCATAGTAATTCATCCCCCATAGTAATTCATCCCCCATATAGTAATTCATCCCCCATAGTAATTCATCCCCCCATATAGTAATTCACCCCCCCATAGTAATTCATTCCCCATATTAATTCATCCCCCATATTAAGTCCCCAAGTCCCCCCTGTGTCAATTCACTTACCTTTGCTCCGCGCGTTCCTCTCGCCATGTTCCCACGCCCTTCCGGTGTAGCATGAAAATCTGTCTCCTATGAGGATCTGTCCCCCTCGACGTATCTGTGCATGTGCCAGTTTCAGGCATTAGCAGCCGATCGGCGATCTCCGGCACATGCGCAGATACGTCGAGGGGGACAGATCCTCATAGGAGACAGATTTTCACGCTACACCGGTCTTCAGGGCGGACTGTGAGAGGAGCCTAGCGGGAGCCTAGCTCCGCGGGCCGGATTAAAAGGTCTGCCGGGCCGTATACGTCCCGCGGACCGTAGTTTGCCCATTGCTGGTTTAGCCCCTACGCTTAATCCCCCTCCCCTTCTCCCCCAGCAAGTGCAGTGTCAGTAGATAACTGTCACTTGATACATTGCACACAAAGTTGCAGGGTTAGCAGGATGAGGCTTGACCTCTGCTTTCACTAACAGGTAAATTTTTTGTGGCAGTTCAAGCAGTCCCTGACAGCCAGGTGCTCTTTTTCCCATGAGTCACACTAGATACCTGTAAATTTAGTGACAAAATGTCCAAAGAAAGGTATAGGATTCTGATCATGTCAGATGAGAGCAAAGTGGAAGCCTCACTGACAGAATCAAGCTCACAATACAAACCTGTAGACAGCAATGACACCCTGACAGATAGCGCAGATGATGGAGTAGCGGTCACTGCTAAGGTCAGGCTTACCCAACCCCATTCCCAGGTTGCTGAGGTGGTACAATTGCATGATGATTCTCATATGCAGCAGAGTGCCAGTACTAGTGCCACTCTACCTTTTGGTGAACTGGCGAGCACCAGCAGCCTAGTACATCCTGGTCTTTTACATAATAGCACTGCAGTATCACTTGGTTACCTGGCGAGTCCCATAAGTGCAGTACAAGCTGGTGCTGGGGTGAGCACAAGTATTGTCCCGCAGCCACCAAGAATTCACACACAGGGTGGTAGAGCATAGTGCCGGGTGTGCTTGCAAATCCTGATTGGCAGCCCTCAAATTCTGCAGCACCCAAACTTCCCCCATTCACTGCCCAACCCAGAATTCAGGTGGAAACAGCAAATTTAATTACTCCCCTTGATTTGTTGGAGCTGTTTTTCACAGAAGATCTGTATGAATTGATTGTGGATCAAAGCAATTTATATGCACAACAATTTATCATTGCTAACCCAAATTCAAACCTTGCCAACCATTTGCCAACCTATTACAGTTTCCGAATTTAAAGTTGTTTTGGGCCTAGCCCTCAACATGGGCATTACTAAAAAAAAAAAAAAAAAAGAATTGCGGTTGTGTTGGTCCACAGGTCCTGATTCATCATATGCCCATGTTCTCTGCTGCCATGGCCAGGTATAGATATGAGAATATAAATATAATGCAATTTATGCATTTCAGTGACAATACACTGTTGTCCTCGAGGTGGCCCTGAATATGATAGGCTCCACAAAATTCAGCCCCTTATAAATCACCTTAACCAAAACTTTGCAGATATGTATACTCCCGAGCAAAACATCTGTGTTGATGAGTCCCTAATTAGTTTTTCTGGCTGCCTTGCATTCAAACAATTTCTCCCCAGCAAGCGTCCCAGATATGGGGTCAGAATGTAGAAGACCCGTGAGAAGGTAACAGGCTATACATGTAATTTTCGGATTTATGAGGAAAAAGATAGTCACATGGAGCCCCCAGATGCCCAGACTACATGGGGAGCAGTGCCAAGATAGGGTGACACCAGGTCCCAAACTTTTTCCATATGGGGTACCACTTATACATGGACAATTTTTATACAAGCGTGCCAATATTTAGACATTTATACAGTCTTGGAATTGGAGCATTTGGCACCATGCTTGTAAATACATGTCTTAGAAAGGGGGAGAAAGCCAGCTTGAAAAACGATTAATTGCTTGCAGTGAAGTGGAAGGACAAACGGGATGTTTTCACGCAGACATGACCATCCAAATTTCCACGACAGCTGGTGTTGTTGAGAAGTCCCTCTGTGTCCACGAATATAACCTTAACATGAGAGGGGTGGACTTCAACAGCCAGATGAAGAAGCCGTACTTTTGTATCCAGAAGGTGCTGTGGCCCAAACCCTCAACTCAGATGCAGTGAGCCAGCTGCATGAGAGGCATTTTCCCAATGCTATTCCTGGTACTCCAATCCAAAAGACACCCTAAAAAAGATGCAGTGTCTGTAGCAGACACGGAATTAGACGTGACAGCCGCTTTTTTGTCCCTCCTGTCCTGGCTAACCTGGTCTCTGCCTCAAAGACTGCTTTGGTCGCTACCATATCCTAGCGGACTAGTAAAGCATGGCACAGTCCTAGGGCACATATATACAGAGGGTCTCGAATGATGTCAGGTAGTCAGGAAACTGGCTGTGGCATTTTGAGAGACCCTACCATCTGGATGTTAGTTTTTTTAAAAAAAAAAGTAAAAAAAAAAAATTATATATATGTAAAAAAAAAAAAAAAAAAAAAAGATATAAAAAAGTGAAAAAAAAGATAAAAAAACAAAAAGTTGTTTGATTGAGTTACTGTTTTATTATTGAAGCGGAGCTCCACCCAAAAGGGGAAGTTCCGCTTTAAGGACTGCTCCCCATTAAAGATTGGCACCTTTGGGGGGCGGGGGGAGCGGGTACCAGTATTTGACAGGTGCCTGCTACCACTTCCGGTCCGATCACCTAGGCGATTGGAAGCGGAAGGTGTCCTCCCTCCCTCCCTGTAGTCTTTTGGGACATGTGACAGGTCCCAGAAGACTACAGGACCATTCATGAAGCGCAGAGCTACTCGCGCATGCGCAGTGGGCACCAGGCTGTGATAGCTTGCCGGCCTCCTGAAATACAGGACGGCTGGTGAAACGGGCTGTGGGGGACACATCGCAGGACTGAGGGACAGGTAAGTGGCTGTTTTTTTTAAAAGTCAGCAGCTACAGTTTTTGTAGCTGCTGACTTTTATTTTTTGACAGGGTGAATGGAACTCTGCTTTACCCATTGCTGTTTTCTTTGCAGGAATGCCATTCAGCTGCAGCACCAATCTGTTTATCCTGACAGCAACGAGGTCTTGCTCTCAGAATATACATAAATGTGTGCAGCACTATTGGATGAGATTTTTCATTACAGTTAAAAAAGAAGATAGATGTCCAAGCATAGGGGCCTAGAGTGGCCAGTGGGTGGATCGCCCCTATGCTTCAGCATATATATTTAATAATATTTTTTGACACATATTTCAATAAAAAAAAATTTTTATTGAGTTACTGTTTTATTGTTAACCATTGTGGTTTTCTTTGCAGGAATTATATTCATCTGGAGCACCGATCTGTTATTCTGACAGCAACAGGGTCTTGCTCACAGAATTTACATAAGTGCGTGCAGCACTTCTGGATGAGATTTTTCATCCACAGTTAAAAAACAGCATATATGCCCAAGCTTGGGGGCCTGGGGTGGCCAGTGGGTGGATCACCCCTATGCTTTGGCATATATTTTAAAAATTTTTGGCAGAAATTTCTTCATCCACATCGATAAATGTGATCAAAGGAATCTGTTCTTTTTTTTCATGGGCTGAACATAAAAAAAAAAAGAACATTTCATGTGTGCCCACCATTAGAAGTGGGTGGATGCAGGGCGGCATATTCTAATGGTGGGCATATCACACACTTTTTTTTGGCAGAGATGACTTCTTTTTTTCATTCATCCCACAGGCTGCATTAAATAAAAATAAAAACAAAAAACACAGCATATATACCAAACAAGGACTAGCGGCGTACTGGTACATCACTGGACTTTGAGTGGTTATACCCAGATGATGCCTGCAGCTGTGGGCATCATCCTGGTATCGTATTTTTCAGCCGGTAATCGGCTTTTATGTAAAAGCAATCCTAGTGGACTAGATACCCGCCCTCTGCCTTCCACGTCATCTCGGGCACTCCCATGCCATCGGGGGAACCCGAGAATGCAGCCGTTGTATCTGCCAGCTCACCATAGAGCTGACTGGAGACCGTAATGGTGCCAATCATTACATCACAGTCTAAGAAACCGGAAGTTACGAGTATTTCATCGTCATATGATGTCCTCCCACTCTAACTGCGCATTTGCACCCCCGGGGGCGTGCGGCAATCAGTGGTGCGCTGTGTTACTGGGACACAGTAGATCTCCAGTCAGAGTAAAAAGCCAATGATGTCGGCTCTGTCATGTGATCAGCTGTGTCCAATAACAGCTGATCACATGTAAACAAGGAAATGCCGGTTATCGGCAGTTCTCTCCTCAAACTGAGGAGAGGAGAGCCAGTAATCGGCATTCCTCAGAGGATACATCTACACTGATCATCAGGGCACTGATGATCAGTGTAGACCCATCAGTGCCACCTGTAAGTGCCCATCAATGCCACCTGTAAGTGCCCATCAGTGCACATCAATGCCACATATCAGTGCCTACCAGTGCACATCAATGCCACACATCACTGCCCATCGGAGCTGCCTTTCAGTGCCAGTCAGTGTCACCTATCAGTGCCAATCAGTGTCGTCTATCAGTGCCAATCAGTGCCACCTATCAGTGCCATATATAAGTGCTACCTTTCAGTGCCCATCAGTGATGCCTGTCAATGCCCATCAGCGCCACCTACCAGTGCCTCCTCATGAGTGCCGCCTATCAGTGCCCATCATTGCAGCCTCATTAGCACATATCATTGAAGGAGAAAAATTACTTATTTACACAATTTTATAGCAGAAACTAAGAAAAAAATTGGGTTTATTTTCAAAATTTTCAGACTTTTTTAGTTTGTTTAGCAAATAATAAAAGCCCCAGAGATGATTAAATACCACCAAAAGAAAGCTATAACTGTTTCAAAAAAACAATAGAAATGTTGTTTGGGTACAGTGTTGCATGACCAGGCAATTGTCATTCAAAGTGCGACAGCGCTGAAAATTGGCCTGGGGAGGAAGGGGGTGAAAGTACCCAGTAGGCAAGTGGTTAAACTTGACACCACCCAACTGCACCAACGACCAAAACAAACCCTAGCAAAGGTGTGGTGGTCCTATTTACCAATATCTACTCAAGTCAAATGTAAAGGATGAGGTACATGACTCGTAAAAAATAGACTGCCACTGTTTATGACAAAATTCATATATTTTATAAGTCTGGTCCCCATGGATTGAATCATATCTCCAAGTGAACGTTTATAGGTCTTTGTGGCATATATGAATTATTTATTTATTGGTATCAACATCCACCTGATTGATCCTTGTAACAAACCTCTTCCCTGACTTTCATTTCTCTCTCTCTCTCTCTCTCTCTCTTTTCATACCATACCATTTTATGAATATATCAATCCCAATTTGCAGAATTATTCGAGGAATTATACATTATTTTATAGTTCGTTTTTAAATCAATACTATTTCTGGGTATGTATTAATTTATAATTACTTTGTAGATTTACCTTGGTTTTGTAATATTTATCTTTTTTTGTTATGATTTATAACTCTTACTCTAGATGCAATACTAGATGTGATTGTACCTACATGATCTGTGTTCCTTTTTTCCCCCTATTTTATACTTAAATTTAATAAAAAATCTCATTGGGGGGGAAAAAAAAAGTAATAAAAGAGATAACTATTAAGTTGCCAATCCAAACATCTTCAGAACACAGAATACTAGAAATGACCAGATATGACATATAAAATGAGTAGTATTTAAAATGAGGGTAATTCAGGATATTCTTGAAAGTAACCAAGGGGACTGAAAAGATAATCTTAACTTTCAAAAGATATAAAAAAAAGCAAATTAAATATCACGCAATTTATGTCAAAAAATGAAAAAAAAAACTGAATACTTACAGAAGGCCTGGACAGATTTTCCCTTGAGAGCTGATTTTCTAATGCGTGAAGCTTTTCTTGCAGGTATCGATTTTTTAAGTGCAGTTCATCTACTATGGAATCACGAGGTAATGCTTGCTTTGTTCTATGACCACATTCAAAAAAAAGAAAAAAAAAATGCTTTAAAATCTTATTCTTTCTAGCTGCATTCAGTTAAAAATAATGTGAACGAAAATCGAGCGAGACTAAAGTTTTATATGCTCTTTTAAACTTTCTCAGTTTAACAAATCCTTGAAAGGTCTAAGCCTGCTTGACAAAGCAAGTGCTGAAGAGCAGTACTTTCTTTCCTCCTTGTATATGTTACTTTGAAACAAGGTTAATAATAATAAATTTCCCAGCCTGCTTGCAAAGGTTAGATTTTCCCAACCAAATTATTACATTGTGCATCAGAGTGTAATGCCTCTAATTAGTTCAAGAATTGTTGGTACCCTCTATTCTTCAGACATTAACCTGGCAAATTAATTCCACTGATGCATTAAAGCTGTTATTCTTAAGCCCATTATAACAAGAAAGGTTGATTTTTCACAATGTGTCTAACGTGTGCAGTGACTTTATAGGACAGATTGATGGGAGGGTTATACAATATCAGAATGAACTGTGTGACATACGGCTAGCTATGGTAGATTTCATTAACTCATCTTATTTTTTAAATACATCTACAGTTTTTACAATAGAAGAAACCAGGATGTAGATGTCAACAGAGTCAATGATGGACTGTTAGCGTTACCAAACAGATTTTAAAGGAAAATTCCATAGGCTTGGAAGCAGCACAGGCCATAGGTTTGGTGACTGTAGCAAAATAAGCAGATAATTCTCATTTGGACTAATACCAATTCCTCACACCAATCTATCTTATCTACTCTTGTTATTACCAAGCCGCTAAGTATAGGTCAAGGTGATATTTTTAGAAATTATATTTGATTTCATATTCTGTCACCCATTTAAACCAAAGCTGAAGTCTCACTAAATCAGCGCAAAGAAAATGATTATATTTCTCCAAACCAGTCCATTAAGTCTCCAACCTATTATTTTTCAGGATGTCCTTGAGTCATGAATTTTTCAGAAGTTCTCAAAACCCTATCTAGCAAATGTTAAACTTTTCCAAAAAATGTAAGGTTACCAGATTTTCACAATCAATTTTGTGGACACCCTACTAAACACACCTAAGAAAACACACCCCTATTTGTAGCTACACCCACAAAATCACACCCCAAATTTTAACATGCCCTGAAACAACTGATCACAGACTTTTGGAACAAGAAGCATAACATTCAAGGTATAAAGAAAGTATGCTTGGGCACCATGAACAGAGGAATGATGCAGTGTGTGTAATGCACCGCAGCTAAATGTGGTCAGGAGTGAGTAACGCATACATTGCAAGGATTATTAGTAGGCAACCCACAGATTGCAGGAGTCAACAATAAATAATGCACAGGGTGCAGGGGTCAGGAGTTAGTAATGTAGAGATCAGGGGTCAGTAGTGTAGAGATCAGGGGTCAGTAGTGCACAGATCAGGGGTCAGTAGTGCACAGAGTAAGGGGGTTAGGGGTAACTAATGCACAAAGAACAGAGAATCAGAAGCAAGTAACAGAGATAACAGAGGTCAGGTCAGCAGTAATGCAGAAAGTGTAGAGGTCAGAAGTAAGTAATGCAGAGAGGGCAGGGGTCAAGATTAAGTAACACACAGACTGCAGCAGTCAGACATAAGTAATGCACAGAAGGCATGGTCAGGAGTAAGTATTGTCGAGACAGCATTGACATAATTTTAGATGAGCAGTATTACAGAGAGTGCAGAAGTCAGGAGCAAGTAATGCAGTGAGAGCAAAGGTCAGGTCAGGAGTAAATACCACACAAAGTGTAGAGGTCAAGAGCAAGCAAGAGTTCAGGGGTCGGGAATAAGTAACACAAAGTTTAGAGGTTGAAGTACCACACAGAGTGCGGAGGTCAGAAGTAAGTAACGTACACTACGGCAACTAGATGTGAGTAAAGCAAGGAGAGAACAGGTCAGTAACACAGATAGAGCAGTGTTGAGGAGTAACAAACAGAAATCAGAGGCCAAGAGCAAGTAACAAAGAGACAGCAGAAGTCAGGAGTAAATAATGCATAGAAAGCATAAGTCTGGAGCAACGCAGAATGCAGGGGTCAGAAGTAAATAATGTACAGAGTGCAGAGGACTGATCATTCCAGAAAACAATTAAAATGATGTCAATGCAAAATTCTTTCCCTGTAGACTTTTGAGTAACAAGGGAAGTCTTTAACCTTCCAGTTACACTGCCACCTACAAGGGGAATGAACACTGGCAAATAAAAAAAAAAAAACAAACAAACTGTGGGTCGACCCAGGAAAGACCCTCCTACAATGAACATGCCTCAGTTTTTAGCAAAGCAATAACAAGAACATTATCATAAACAACGAACTCCAAGAAACTGATTTTTTGGTTAATCTAAAAATACTTTTTTCTTTCTCTTCTGTTGAGGGACACAGGAAGTCTTCAAATTTCAGAATGTTCAAAAAAAAACGTCCAACTAATTGTTTGGTAACACATCAAATAGTTGCGTACAGGCCCAAGAAAACCAACAGAAAACTGGGAACCTGCTGCAGCTCCAAAGAGCCACCTGAAAGACCTTATGCAGAAACTGATCTCCTTTATAGAATGTATTAAGCATGTGAACAGAAGACCAGGTGGCAGCCTTGAAAATCTGGGAAAAAAAATTACTTCATTCCAAAAAGCTCAAGAAGCACTCATGGGTCTATTAGGGTACACCTTGGCAAGAAAGGATGGAACCCAGTTCTTGAGACCAGAGCCTTGGGTGATGGTCTACCAACCCCCTGTACAAAGGTCTTAACTAAAGAGTGGACTGGGCCAGTGATCCCTAAACAAAAAGGGCAGAGATCTGCCCTTTCAAGTGCTGAGAGTAAAATGCTGGTCCAGACTAGAGATGTAAAATTTCTGGAAATTTTGAAGCCATGGGTAAAAAACCCCCCCAAAAAACTTATTTTCCTTATTTTTTCCAAAAAAAATATTTCCTCTCACAATATTTGCAATTCACAGCTTTGCTCTCAGCAGCAACTGCACTGTGGAAATGTTTCCAAACTCTAGATGTTGTTTTCACCATTTTACTGAGAGGAGGAAAAGAGAAAATTTCCGACCAGACTATAGGAAAACATTTTTCTGTGATGGAGAACATTTATAGAAATCATTTAAAGGTCATAAAGATAAACTAATTTGTCAGGCAAATATACCCTCTTATCTGTAAATTAAGGCCTGAGAGGCCCACTTGTAGGTGGCACAAGATGGAGACCACAAGCAAACTAAACTGAAACCGTTCCCCTGTTGTGCCCCCTAGTGGCAGAAATGCATATTTCTCTTGCTTGAGAACTGCATTGAGAAGTACAGTGTTACTTGAATTGTATTCCAGGATTTGCTTGCCTTCATCTGAGAGAACTTGCAATAATTTAGGACTTTAAATAAAAGCCTCAGAAATCTTTAATTAAGGTCTTCATATTATATAGTTTGAATACCATGTCAAAGATATATTATTTATCATTGTAAAAGAACATATTCAATACTCTTTTTTTTTTTTCTGTAAAAAAAAAAAACAAAGCAGCTTTAGAAACAAACTGAAAGAAATTTTTTTTTTTCAAATTTTTCCTTTTTATTCCAAGGCCTTCCACTCACTAGTCCATACCCAGCTGCAAGAAAGTAGAGAATTTATCCCACAAAGAAACTCTTGGATCGGAAGACCAATCACTCACACCAAGTAATGATAGAGCTTGTGAGAAGTCGACATCCTAGCTTTAATAATAGGAATCACAGACTAAAAAATGCTCCTGTCTCTCAGAACCTAGAAAGCCAGTGACTGTAAAGCAGTATGGCAAGTCAATCCTTGGCAAAAGATCCTGACAATCCAGAAGAGCCCATAGTTTGTCTGCCATGAATCGTAACAGTTTAGCATACCAAATCCACCTTGTCTGTGTATTGAGAATCACCGAAATACCCTCCATTTAGATCCTGCACACCAGAGAAGGAAGAATTTTTCTGTAGGGAAAAACATTAATCAGGGTGTACTTATACTATGAGTTGAACCTGACCAGGAGGCCCACATCACAGATCCTGGAGCACCTGTAGGTGTAAGGAGCCCTCCTCTGGTTCCAGGCACTGCCAGTGGAGATCTTCCTGCCAACTGTTTCTGCCCAAAATGTACACAGCAGAGAAGTCAGGAATGTAAAGTTCTTCTCAGAACAGAATTCAATCTACATTTCCTGCCACAGCAAGACGTCTGTATCCTAATGTACCTCCACCACTGTGGCCCCGTCGGACTGTATCCAGATTGGATGACCCTCAGACTCTAGATCTGTATTCCTGAGCCAATGAGCTAGAGACAACATGGTCCTCAGTGCCAAACTAATTAATCTGTCCAGGCACAGGAACGAGAGGTCCCACAATGACAAAATGTTGAGTTGTAGAGCTCATGAGAGAACCTGGATGAATAGAACTGACTCAAATGGCTTGTCAGTCCCATGCAAAAGGGGAGGAACTGGATGACTCATAGAACGGAGAGTCAAAATCTGAGACCAAAGAGTCTCAAGTTACTTTTGTGGTCTAGGAATATAGGAAGACATACCAAAAGATAAGTCAGTTTCACCAATGATTTCTAAAGGCTCAAAATCCATCCAAATCACTGTAACCTCTGGACAGTTACAGACATGTTGTCTAAAAGAGTATGTGATGACTGTTCTCTCAGTGGGAGGTCATCTAAGTATATGGGATAGCCAATACCTTGGTGAAGCCAGTACCTTGGTGAATAACTGTGGCACTTTTGCACATTTGGCAAATAGCGAGAGATTGGACACTTCCAGCAAACTGTCACAACAAACGGTTTTTGTTACAGCCATTTGTCCAATAAGCCAGGGATCAACCTCAGTAGTGGTTAGATCTCTTACAAAGGACTTCCATCAATTGAATGTTGGGTGGACCCTCCACAGAGAACAGGGCTTTTAGAAAGGGCTTCCAAATACTTATCAGTTGTGCATCTATCACCGGTATAATAAACATCACAGGGCATGGCCATATCCAGAACAGGAATGAGCTACTTCTGTACAAAATTCTCACCAAAGGGAAAGCGCTTCACAGCTAATTCTTGCCCTTTGGGAATGAGACACTTCTATACAAAAAGGGAAAGCACTTTTGCTGCTAACTTTTAACATAATGGTTACTGGAAAGCACACCACACAGGACCCAGTGCCTGAAGGTCACTTCCGAGTTATCCCATCAATGTCCAGTCCAGAGGGGTCTAGACGTGGTACTTCAAAAATTAAGCTGAGGGTGGCCATGCTGGATAGCTGCAATCAAAGTGACAAAGCTCCAGCGATGATGTAGAGGAGTCTTGAATAAAGAAAAAATCAAAGAAAAAAACAAGTGCTAGCATAAAATAGGTCAAAGAAAAGACATCCATACTGCTAGGATGCAAGCAAAAATCTGCAGCATGCTGGAGGGGTTATCCTGGGCTGCCCTAAAGTTTATTTATTTTTGCCAGTGTCCGATCCTCCTGTGAGCTGCAGCATAACCCAAAGCTCACATTCTAATGTTTACAGCATAAAGTTTGAAATTAATCTGGCCTTGTATGAACAACATACAATATAATAATTAGTAATTAATTGATTTAATATTACACCATGTAGCCTAGAATTCAGTATGGTTTCTTTTATATACCTAAGAAATGCTATCATGTTATCATAAACATTTTTAATAAAGCCATAGCTGTAAAAGAACAGTAAAAATACTGACCTTCACTGATGACCACACTGCCAAAACACCACTGCAATTCTAAAAACCTCTGAAATTTGCAAGGAACCAACATGTCTACGAATGTCAATCTCCTGCATGCCCTGACCTGCTGATCTCTTCCCATTACATGATACAAGAGGGATGTGGGGATCAAAAGGAAGAACAAGTGATATTGTAACTCCTGAAAGTGTCAGTTTCCTGCAGACTTCTCTGGAAAATTATGTAGGATCAAAGCAACATTCAGTGGCACAGGCAGCAGAAAACCATGAGTATTTCCAGATCTTTTTCAGATATGGGTCAATTTAAAAAGTTAACTATAGCAACAGGGTTGCTGAAAGCTTTAGAATAAGCTATCCATTTAGCTGTAAGTTCAGAAAATAGAAGCACTGCACACATCCAAGGCTGGATTAGCAAAAGTTAATGTCTGTCTGGAAAGTCCATTCTCACATTTTGTACAAAACCCAGAGTTTTCTTGAATACATATAAAAGCAAATCTAAAAGCTCCACACAACAGGAGGTAAAACAGAACACTTCCCTTGTTTGGTGTAATCCAATGATACATACTTCATGTAAGCAATCTCATTTTCCAATTCATTATTTTTTTTTCTGAGTTCTTCAATCTCTCTTTCAGATTCTACTGTTCTGGCCCCAACTACTTGATCCACAGTAACCCCACGAGATTTCAGTTTCTTTTGCAGTATTAATTTTTCCTGGTCAGCTCTAGAATTGAAAATACAATTGTATCATCACATGGCATCATTATCTCAAACAGATTTAAAATAAAAAAAAACTCATGCTTTACAAGCAGATGAACGTTTCCATTCTTAATAACAAAGCCTCATACAAAGCGCGTGTACTGGTGTCAAAACCTCCTTAAAAAAGGAAGCCAGTGAAAGAACAACACTGTGGCCATCATAATCATACATAACAATATAATAACATAAAATCAGCTCCAACAATTGAGTGAATATGCTGGCTTTATTTTGTATAGAGAATCTGACTCTCATCCACACTTTGTACAAGGTATTGTTTGTGAGAATGGGGACAGACCCAAAAAAGTAAGTCAGTTTAGTAACACCTTGCTAAAGACTAAGGCCAGGATTGACCAAAACATGTCTGTTGTTGATGTCCTTTTTATCTGACATACTGCCACAAAGTTTAAAGTTGAGCTTCAGGAATTCAGCCACTCTTTATGGCCCCATGCATACTCCACAGGCAGTGTACACTAAAATAAAAATGGTAGATGGAAGTAAAAGAGGTTTTTTTGATAGAACAGTCTATGCGTTTCTCTTCTAACAAAAATAGGATATCTAGCAATTTTTATTTTTTTCAGTTTAGTTCCGCTTTACACTAGCCATTTTCCTGCCACACAATTTTGTATGTGAATGAATAAAACAGCACTGGGATGTCAGATATTTAAGAATGCTAAATTTCACACTGTAAGATCCTGAACATAAGTATTAGGGATACGTCCTGTTTTCATAAAAATAAGACTGCTTGAATTCCTTCTTGAAGCAACATGGCGGAGTCCCCACTTCCCCCAGACTTTCTGTAAACAGCATATGAACTGCTTGTGTTTACAGTGCACAAATGCTCAGATAAGTGATCCTTATGATTTTGGTGGTTCAGTTTTACCAGATTTTCATAGCAGATGATACTGCATGTTTGATTTCCAGTTATAACTGTGGGTACAATTCTTAGTAGTAACACAGATTAGATCATAAACCCAGGACTTTCAGGAATTATTAGGCTCAGATAGAATGAAGAAATAGCGGATTTACGTTTTAACTTGGAACTCCTCTCTGATATACGCTCATATTTTATATACCTTCTGCATGTTCTACGGTACTACTTTTCTATTTATGTAGTACAGATGAGTATATAAAGGGGATGAAATAGCAACAAGCTGCTTTTCTTCACCTGGGGGGGATATATACTACCTATAAAGAATTATTTCTACACATTGAGGTCATACAGAACACTTCAAAGTGACGCACTGTGGACAAAACGAATATGGTCCCTAAAGCAAAATGAGCTTTGTGTCTTGCCTGAAAAACTCACTTGGAATATAGCTCTTTCAGGGTTGTCAGCTGTTTTGTCAGAGACTCTGCTTCTTTTTCTTTATCACGTAGTTTGCTGCGCATTCCTTCTAATTTAGATTGCCACTTTTTGCCTTCTTCCCACCTAATTATCTCTTCTTTAGAGCCCTGCAAATTGAAAACATAATTATAGTTATAGTCACTGAACAATTTTACTTATGTTAGATATAAGGGTTCTTAATGCTGTATAGATTGAGTTACAGAACACCAGCAAACTCTGCTAGACAGGAGTGATAATATCTACATCTCCTGTCATAACAGTAGCTGTTAAGTGAAGTATTACTGCCACCTACAAAGAGGTAAAGACTTTATATTGGTTGGCCTATTTAAACAGTCTGTTACCCCAACATTTTTCGTAGTTTTCCTGTGTCAATTGTACTATGTATATGTGTTAAAAAGTTTTTTCTCCACCTTTCCAAGCCTCTTATGCAGCTAGAAGTACAGTAATCACTTATAAAAAAAAAAAGGAAAAAAATGTTATATATATATATATATATATATATAAATTAATATTACAGGGCTCAAATTTCAAGTCCTGAGCTACTAGCCAGGCCTTCAGAGTTACTCACCACCTGTGGACTGAAGCAGCATGGTGAAGGGTGCACTAACTGGGAGTTCCACTAGAGATTTATCCTGTTTCACTGATCCTGGGGAATATCTGCCCATGATTCACCAACTTTGCCTCCGCTCTATACCTCCACTCAGTATCTGGCGATGTCACCTCCCAAGAAATCCACCAGCGCCAGCGGTAAGCTGGACAGGGTTTGCCATGAAGAAACAGATGCGACTGGGGAAGATGGCGTCGCATCGTCTGCCGAATCTGACCACTCCTCCGGTGAAGGTGCTGAAAGCGATTTCCACCTTTGAGAGTACCCCAACATCTAAAATCAAGGAAGTGAAGGTGGATATATCATTCATATGCCAAAACTTCCAAAAACCGAGAGAGAGGGTTGCAGAGACTGAACGCCATATAAGCCACATGGAAGACGACATCGCGCCATTATAGGTCTCCATTGAACGGTTACAACATCAAGTCCACTCTCTCCTACAAAAACAGGACGATATGGAAACACAAGCTTCAACGCTGCAATCTCCAGTTTGTGTGACTCCGAGGGTGTAGAAGGCACTAACAATCCATCATTCCTGGAGAACCTACTCACTACCACCTATGGCAGACAGGCCTTCTCTACCTCTTTTGTACTACAACGAGCCCACCGCCTGGCTGCAAGACCACCACCTACTGGGGTTCCCCCCAGCACCTTCAGTGCCAAATTTCTGAATTTCAGAGATCGTGATACCATCCTCCGCCTCACCCGGGAGAAGGTCAATATCCCCTTCGACAATGTAAATGTGGTGGTGTTCCCTGACTTCTCCGTGGAGGTTCACCGGCGCTGGGCCCAATTCACCAAAGCCAAACGCCAACTACGGATAAAAAACGGCCAGGTTACAAGTAGTGGGCAATGACAAAGTGCATTACTTTGAAGATTACTAGGCAGTCTTTGAGTGGCTGGAACGTCAAGATATGGCAGGCCCTGCACCAGCCTGAAGCCGTTCCATGATGCCTGCACCGGAGCCTTTCCAAAGTGTACAGCAAGTCCTTCCTGCTAGCTGTATTGGATATCCACATTACAGTCCTTCGCTACACCAGGTCCCATGAGTCTCCTTCCCTCCTGCCCTCTCCTGTCTCTCCCATTCCCCCCGATCTCCCTGCCCCTGGTTTGTGACTTCTTTTTATTTCTCCCCCCACCCCCCCTTTTTTTTGTACCACATCCTTTGGTGAACACGGACATTGATTTCTTCCTTGAATTTTCTTACCCAATGCAACATACTCCCCCCCCTCTATTTGGAGACCCTGGGAAACTTCCCAGTCGGATGTCAATGGATTCATTCCCCCCCACCCCCATTTTCCCCTTCATTTTCATGCACCTCATGCCCGTGTGCTTTTCAGCAATTGATTGCTCCTCCAGCAGCTGAAGCACTGCTGGGATTTGGATTACTCGTCAGGTCCCTCTTTGTAATTCAAGAACTGTTTCCCTGGCCAGCCTACACTTCAGTTTGTCCACCGCAAACACCAGGTGTATAGTTTTTTGCTATACGATACAGTTTTTTTCTCCTGTTTTTTTTTTTCTGGTTCTTTTTGTTTTTTTTACATTTTTATTGATTTGAGCTCTTTAAACGGAGTGTCCCTCCACACGGAGGCACCTTACTATTCCTGTACGATGATGCCTAGAATACCACAATCTAGGCCTCCTACACTTACGGACTGCCTCCCTGTGTTCCTAATTTACTCACATGAACTGCTAATTCTCCAATTGCTATTGTCATATTTGTGATGCTTATATTGTTATCTCCTATTGTTACTGATACCCAAGTCTCTTCTGATCTGATCGTATCTTTATGCAACCTTTATGTTATTATGGCCTCATAAAATTTTCTAACATTGAATGTTAGAGGGTTGCGTGCAAAACCTAAACGCACTGCAATCTTGAACCACCTTAAATCTCAACGGACAGATGTATCTATCCTAGTGGAAATGTATCTTACTGGCCAGATGCAACTGACCCTTATAAAACCCTGGATAGGCTGGTATACCAGGACCCTTATACATCTCACTCCCGAGGGGTTACAATTCTTATTGCAAAAACAGTACAGTTCCAGCTTTTGTCGCTACGATCAAATCAGCAGGGCAGGTACCTTTCCTTGAATGCCATGATTGGTGGCATAGATGTGCTGTTGTTAGTGTATTATGTCCCTCTACCATTTCAATTTTCTGTGTTGCATGATGGTTTGGCCTTTATGCCCCAATACCCCCTATATGGCTGGGCGACTTTAATATGGTCATAGATTTCTCTCTTGACAAAGTGGGTCCCCATCCTCCTTCTCCCACCTCATCTTCCTTCACTAGATTTGGTAGACTCCTGGCTGAATTTGGAATTTGAAGCGACATAAGTGTTTTCTGCCTCACACTCCACCATATCACGGATCGATTATATCCCTAAGTCTAAATCTTTGCTCCCAAATCTAGGTGATGTGGGCTTTGGTGCCTGTGTAATGTCTGATTATTCCTCCTACTGGGTGACCATCCATCTACAAAGTTCCTTCATTTGCTCGTATGCGGAGGCTGAACCCTTTTTGGTTGTCTGCTCTCCCTGAAATGGAGACCATACAGCAGGAATGGGTATTCTTTTTCCAGTCCAATCAGGGTTCAGCCTCAACTGGGGTGGTTTGAGAATCATATAAACTCCATGCTAGACTGATTTTGTTGACCTACATCTCCAGATACAAAGCATCCTCTAAATTGGTGATCCAACAGGCTGAAGAACATTCATTAACTTTAGAAAGTAACTTCCAAGTGAACCCCTCTGGGGACGCTGCTTCCCTGGTTAAGATGTAAACCTGCTTACTTAATCATCTTCACTTTGAGGACCAAACACCAAATTTTCATTTGTAAACAAAGGGTATTTGAACATGGGGAGAGAGCTGGCAAATTTCTTGCTTACCTGCCTCATCTAGACCACAAACCACCGGTGGTAGTGACTCTACAAAACACATTAGGCCAATGACTCATTGACCCTGACCTTGTAACAGCAGAATTTCAAACCTTTTTCACTAACCTCTACTCTTCTTCTACTCAATATGCCTATGAAGACCTGATCTCCTTTTTACAAACAATTTCATTTCTCTCCCTCACTCCCTCTCAGGTCAACTGACCTGATAACTACCCTGATAACCACCAATGATATACAGTAGATAAAGCTCTCGCACACCTTGAACACTCTAAAGCTCCTGGATCACACAGAGTCCCCTTGGAATTCTTCCATCTTCCATGAGGGAAGCTATGATAGTACTTATACCCAAACCTTGTAAGGATCTCTTATTCCACAAATCCTACCGCCCCATCTCTCTCCTACAATTAGATGTAAAAATCCTAGCTAAAATCTTGGCCCTGTGCCTTAAAAAATGATTCTTACCTTAATCCATTTGGATCAAATTGGCTTTATGCTCAGCAAAAACACAACTTTCAACCGTAGGCGTCTATTTATGAATTTGCAGGCCTTACACAATTTTGTTGGTTCCTGCATAGTGGTCAGCGTGGATTCTGCCAAGGCCTTTGATTCAGATGAATGGGAATATCTATGGGAATGCCTACGCCGGTATGGTTTTGGTCCACATTTCATTAAAAGGCTTCAACTTCTATATCAGGCCCCAGTGGCCTGGATCCAGGTTAATTGGTACGGTCTCCAACCTACTCCCCCTCTCAAGAGGTACTCGCCAGGGGTGTCCACTCTCCCCGTTATTATATGCCCTAGCAGTAGAACCACTGGCAATTGCCCTTAGGACCTCATCCTCACGTTAGAGGTCTTCGACTTGCAAATCTAGTTAACACAATTATCCTTTGTGCTGATGACATGCTACTGTATCTGGAAGATGCAGGGCTCTCTTTACTAGCAGCACTGTACCTTATCACTGACTTTGGGACATATTCAGGATTACAAATTACAAACTCCTCTTACAAGCCTTAACCAGTGCTCTGCTGGACACTGATAGAAGTCACAAGACTGCTGTAATCACTGATGAGAAAAGGTATTTAGCAGTTTATATTTACTAAAATGATTGCATTTATATGTTCTGTGTACTGTGGGAGACCAGATATAGTGAACGCAGGGTCATGGGATTAGTAACACTTTGAGAGACACAGGGTCAGAAGGAATTCCAAACCTCTAAGATATCCTGCCACCTTCAGGAAAGTTGGACACTGGCAACTAAAAAAATGTTGAACAGGCAGTAAAAACTATCACACTCCCATCATGCTTCAGTTTTGTGGAAAAGCAGTAGTGGGAGTGATCAAAAGACAGAGGGGTGGGAACGGTGATCCTTACTGAAATCAAGTATAAGGATTTTAAGGCAAGTAAAATATCTCATTTTAATCATTGTTCATTAAGGAAGAGGGAATGAAGTACAATGTCCCGGATAAGGTGGAAGAAACCACCCTAGGGAGAAAGGATTCTTTAGGCTTCTAGAAAATCTTGTCTCTTGGAAACACAAGAAAAGCTTCCTTGCAGGACAAGCAGGTCAACTCGTAAACCAGTTTCACCAAGATGATGGCA